CTAACTTGCTTCTCAAAAACCTCGTTGCTGAAATAAAAGTTTTACCAACAACCAGCAACTGGGAATGGCAGTCTTTCCATCAGTTTGACATCTTCCACAGCTAATGGAGATGCTAGAACATCAGCTTCAGCAACGTCTATTCCATCAACGACAGCTTCAGCAACGTCTATTCCAACAACGTCTTCTTCAGCAACGTCTATTCCAACAACGTCTACTTCAGCGACGTCTTTTCCAACAACGTCAGCTTCAGCAACACCTAGTCCATCGTATAACTTCGTATAATGTATGCTATCCGAAGTTATTACGAAGCAGACATTGTCGGAATAGACGTCGCTGAAGCAGCCGTTGTTGGAATAGACGTTGCTGAAGCAGACGTTGTTGGAATAGACGTTGCTGAATCAGACGTTGTTGGAATAGTCGTTACTGAAGCAGGCGTTGTGTGAATAGACGCTTCTGAAGCAGACTTTGCTGAAACAGTCGCTGTTCGAATAGACGTTGTTGGAATAGACGTTACTGAAGCAGAAGTTGTTGAAATAGACGTTGCTGAAGCAGACATTGTTGGAACAGACGTCGCTGAAGTAGACGTTGTTGGAATAGACGTTGCTGAAGCAGACGTTGTTGGAATAGACGTTGCTGAAGCAGACGTTGTTGGAATAGACGTTGCTGAAGCAGTTGTAGAAAACAAAGTTGCTGAAGCAGACGTTGTCGGAATAGACGTCGCTGAAGCAGACGTTGTTGGAATAGACGTTGCTGAAGCAGTCGTTGTTGGAATAGACGTCGCTGAAGCAGACGTTGTTGGAATAAACGTTACTGAAGCAGACGTTGTTGGAATAGACGTCGTATAACTTCGTATAATGTATGCTATCCGAAGTTATTACGAAGCAGACATTGTCGGAATAGACGTCGCTGAAGCAGTCGTTGTTGGAAAAGACGTTGCTGAAGCAGACGTTGTTGGAATAGACGTTGCTGAGGCAGACGTTGTTGGAATAGACGTTGCTGAAGCAGACGTTGTTGGAATAGACGTTGCTGAAGCAGACGTTGTTGGAATAGACGTTGCTGAAGCAGACGTTGTTGGAATAGACGTTGCTGAATCAGACGTTGTTGGAATAGACGTTGTCGAAATAG